CCCCCTTACGTTCCCCCCCCCCACCCCCCCCCCTCCCTCTCCCCCTTCCCCCCCCCAGTCTCTCTCCTTCTCTCTTCACCCCCTTACGTGTCTCTCTCTCTCTCTCCCCACCCCTCACTCTGTCCACCACACTGTTTATCACTCTCTCCCTAGTGTCTCTCTCCATCACCCAGTGCCCCTCGTCGCCCCCACCTCCCAACAAGTGCCTCTCTCTCTCTCTCTCCCCACCGTCTCTCTGTCTCGAGCTCCTGGGGCAGCGAGGGGGATTGGAGGCAGACATCGGGGAGACGGCTGCTCACCTGGGGGAGGCCTCACACGTGCTGGGAGACCAGGGCCCGCAGGGCAGAGAGGAGCGCGGGCAGGTCGGCCGTTTGCTCAGCCAGGTGCCTCCAGTGGAGCGCGGAGGCCGGGGGCGAGAGGGGGGGGCTGGCGCAGGAGGAGCTGGCGCAGGCATGCGCTCTGCAGGCCGGGGAGGGAGTGCCTCTCGGCGAAGAGGCAGGCGGCCGGGAGCTGGTGGGCCAGGAGGGCCCGGAGCGAGCGAGCCGCTAGTTCCTGCAGATGGCAGCGTAGATCTGACAGCAGGAACTGAGCGGATGCCGCCAGCGAGCGGCCCAGCAGCGAGGTTTCGAGCTCAGGACCGTCACCCTCCGGGGGGAGGAGAAGGGGGAGGAGAGGGGCCAGGACGGGGCAGCCCCCCTCGGCCTGGCAGCCGTGGAGGTGGTGCACCAGGACCTCGCCGACATCCTGCGCCAGGCCCTGGATCTTCACCTCCCTCTGGCTCCACTCCAGGTAGCGGGGAGGGCCCCCCTCCCCCAACATGGCAGCAAACACCTCGGACCCCCGGCACAGGGCGGAGCGTCTCGCTGCCAGCCGCTCGCCTCCGTCGAGCAACAGCCTCAGGTCGGTCGCGCTCGCTGACAGCTCCCCGTACGGGCAGCAGGGGGCGGCCCGAGGACTGGGCAGGGGGGGAGGCTCCGCGTCTGGGGAGCCCGACCCCAGGATCCACGCCAGCCCGTCCGCCGCCCCGAACGTCGTCACGGGGTCCTCGCTGCCCAGCAATGTCTCCAGCAACAGGTGAAGCCCGCCATGGTCGAGCAGCAGCTTGCGCCGGAGCGTCTCATTCCTGCAAAAAAGAGGGCGGGAGGAGGGGGAAGAGAGAAGACACAGAAAAGAAAGTCAGCTTTACTCTGTCCCTGTCCCTGGGAGTGTTTGATGGCGGGGAACAGGGTAGAGGGAACTTTACTCTGTACCTAACCCCGTGCTGTCCCTGATCTCTGAGTGAGTTTCCCACCCACAGCTAGAGTCCCTCTATGCCGATGGTAGGGGGCTGACTCACCGGCAGAGCAGCGGCAGAGCGATCCCACAGCGTTCCCGGTCGCTCCGAGAGCCAGACAGGAGTAAGTGGGTCACGGCTCCGGCTCCAAACGGAGACTCAGCCTGAACACTCAGATTCCTCAACAG